TATATATATATATACATGTATATATATATATAGCTGGATATGCAATATGAAACAATGGTGGATGGTGGACTTTACAGAAATTACCAGTAATAGTGCTATCTACATTGGTGGTGCAGTTATGTACACAGTTAAGTTTCAGTCGGTCAAAAGACATCTTGCATATACAGCACACTGTGATACGTCCATTACTATTCATACCTCTTTTCTCAGGCCCTCATTCCTGCTCTAGTTGCCAAACATCCTAGAAAGGACGCAGCTCAAAATAACCAAACCTCCAGACCACAGTGAAAACATGTGGACAAGATGTTTACTTTCTCCTGCTCTGTACAGATTGCTACTGTCCAACTACGATACTTGTTGTCTTAGTCATGTTCGCCTGTGTTTATGTAGGAGAGAAATCAGAAAGCAGAAAGGGGACAGAGTGTCAGACTCAGTTTACACATAAACGATCACCTGGTGCTGTTGTAAATATGTTACACTTTCACTTTACTGTGATCCCAACAGCTATTTAGGCAAGACTGCAAAAGATGCTGAATCCACGGTAGATTCCATACCTGGTCACTAGCTGGCACTCTTATTTTTGTATGTCAGCAGCACCTTCATGTTTGCATACCAGCATACAAAAGCAACATTTAAAAAGCTAATCAGTTTTGCAGTGGTTGCCACAGCGAGCGAGCTTGCACAAAGAGTTTTGGCAATTGTTTTATGCCAGACGCCCTTCCTGACACAACCTGGGCTTACACTCACAACCTTAGAAATACGAGACTGTGGCACTGACTATTAATCTACCACAGCCTCTTTTAAATAACTAATAATGTCTAGGAATCCATCTAATTTAATCCTGTGGTGCAGTTCGTCTTCTCAAAATTACTTTGTTTTTAAGAAACTGAGACATTTACAGCAGATATATGTTAAAGGGAAAAAAATCACATTAAGATGAAACAAATAAAATCCAAACTGAGACTAGTATTTGAATAGGTTGTCATGCAGCTAAATGGCATTCATTTGTGTGCTGTGTTGCAGGTTTCTTCTGACGGCAGTTGCAACCTTATCATGCTACTCCATTCATCTGCTGCTTAAATCATCTGGCATAGTGGGTAAGTTTGGTGTCAGGTTAATGAAACAGTACAGTTGCCAGTTATCATGTCTAAAAGTTAAAAAAAAAACATTGTTGTATGACCAAGACAACATTTACATTTAATCCAACAAAACATGTCTGATGGCCTGTATGAATAATAAGAAAAGTATGCTGCTATAATAAATTGTTGTTTACATTCTATATTGTTTTTTTTTAAGTGAAATATATTTTTTCTATCCAGTTACAGTAAAACCAAAGAAATGCTAAGATAGTTTAGATGGAAATGTAATAAAACATTCATAAGTTTGTAAATTGATATGTGGCTTTTTACGTCCAGACAAATATTGAAGCTGTGAAAATGACAAATGAGATTATTCTTTTTTATATCTTTAGAAAATGTTTTTTTTTTATTGTGTTGCCTAGAGGCAACACAATAAAATATAAAATGAAATAAAAACCTGCCATCTCGGCAGATGTAATGGATGTTATTTTTTGTAATCGGTTTACAGGAATTCGAGCGTACGAGCAGCTGGGGTACAGGGCCTTCGGTACTCCTGGAAAAATGGCTGCTGGTATAGCAATCACCCTGCAGAATATTGGAGGTGAGGAGACACATTGTCATGATTTCTCTTGTGAATTTTTGTTTCCTTAAACACAGTCTTCAAACTCCTGAAGTAATAATTATGCACCATTAGATGCATTTGACTTTATATCTCCCACAAACAATATCGACTTTGGTAATTCTTTTTAAGTAGTATTATTTGAACTTTGTTCTTAATCAAACATATGTGGTGTGGGGAAGTTTTACAATGCGACAGGAGCTCTGCTGGTGAATAACTGTTGTCTGTGCAGACTAAATTAAAAGCATGACCTACCCACACAAAAGATCACCATTAGGTTTATTCATCACCTCTGTTGGTTACTTTAATAATATTTAACAAAATAATCTTTTTTTTTTTTAATTAAAAAAACTTTCAGCCAAAAACAGTTTAGTAATATCAAATAAACTAAAACAAGGAATATCGTGTACTTGTTTATTATTAGTTTGAGTTTTTGCCTAAATGTGTTGAATTAAAAAACAAACCCAAAAAATACAAATGTAGATAGAGAAAAGGCAAGCTCTTCTAACAGCACTGTGTGTCATTATTGTGCAGAAACTCTTGTACACATTCAGCCTTTTGTAACACTCACCACAAATAAAAAACAAAGTGTGACTCCTCCACACTTAGTCATAAAAACTGCCAGTACATAGTAAGTTCAACATTTTAATACCAGAGTGTTTCTGTATTTAAACACAAATATAATAGGCTGACACGCAGGTTGTTTAAAGGGGCATTTAGTTTTATTGTATGAATCATACTTTTGTTGTATCAGGCTTTCATGCAGTAAAAACGTGCATAATTTGCATGATGTTCACACATTCTCCTTGTAATCGTTTTAAAAGGAACACTTTTTGTTTTTTGTGGAGGAAAATGTATGTAAAAGATTTTGTCTCTGCATAACTTAGTTTTTTTTTTTTTGGTCAAATTATAAGAAGTCAAAGGGAAATTTTTTAACAATAAAACAGTCAAAAATACTCTAGGCTTCCAAAACACCCGACCCAACTTCCTGTATATACACAGAGAACTTCTCTGCAGTGTCCTCAGCTGTAGATGCTGCTACGGTGGCCCTGAAGTTTAAACCACAGCTACAAATTAAAAAGTGCAAAAACATTTGAAAAACCTAATGTCTGGAAAAAACACAATTACATTTGAAAAACACAACATTTGGGGAAAAAAAACCAATTACATTTAAATAAACACAACATTTGAAAAAACACAATTACATTTGAAAAAACACAACAACATTTGGAAAAACACAACTTGAAAAAAACACGTTTGAAAAAACACAATTAAATTTGAAAAAAAAAAACACGACATTTGAAAAAACACATTTGAAAAAACACATTTGAAAAAACACAATTACATTTGGAAGAAAAAAAACATTTGGAAAAACACAACTTGAAAAAAACAACGTTTGAAAAAACACAATTACCTTTGAAAAAACATACCAACATTTGAAAAAAGAAAAAACGCAATTACATTTGAGAAAACACAACAACATCTGAAAAACACATTTGAAAAAAAAAAAACACAATAACATTTGAAAAAACACAGCATTTGAAAAAATCACAATAACATTTGAAAAAACACAGCATTTGGAAAAAAACACAATAACATTTGAAAAAACACAAAATTTGAAAAACACAACATTTGAAAAAAACAATAACATTTGACAAAACACAATTACCTTTGAGAAAAACACAACAAAATTTGAAGAAAAAACGCAATGACATTTGAGAAAACACAATTACATTGGAAAAAGCACAATTACATTTGAAACAACACAACAGCATTTGTAAAAACACAATTACATTAAGCGAAACCTGAAGAGATGGGAGGTTCAAATGTCCCATCGGTGATGTGTCATGTTTCTCCACTGGTCCCATCTCCCACCTTTCCCACATCTTCCAGTTTCGCTTAACGTAATTGCTTTTTTTTTTTTCAAATGTTTTTTCAAATGGTTTATTGTTGTTTCAAATGTAATTGCATTTTTACAAATTTTGTGTTTTTTCAAATGTAATTGAGGTTTTTAAATTTTTTTTTTTTTTTTTTTTTTGAAGTTGTGGTTTAAACATCAGGCCCACCATATGCGACCCTGAAACACACATAAACATGATGTGATGAGTGCTTATGTGACATGACTGTGCTTGTCTCTGATCGATATGCAAGCATGGTTTCTCCCAGTTATGCTTGGCATCCCAGTCTGAAGTCTCCTGTTTTGTCACCTCACAGCTATGTCCAGCTACCTGTACATTGTTAAATCTGAGCTGCCGCTGGTCATCCAAGCTTTCCTGAAGGCAGATCCCAACTCTGAGTGAGTATGCATGTCATCAACATCAGTGCACTGGTGCTGAAAAGCATGTGAGTCTCACTTGTTGTTGACCATAAAGGACAAACACTGCATGTGGATCAAGTGGCCTGACACATTATGTGGGCAGCGAGCGTTTCAGTACCCACCCCGTATTGATTTGGCCAGCGTGGGGGTGTGAATAAAACAAACGCTTGGTATTGGCTGAGCAGCAGGAGTGCTGTGACTGCTGGGTATCTGTTTATTTATGCATTTACAGAAAAAAGCCCCCGTTGCTGTCAGCGTGTGGAGGCAAGCACACGTTACAAGAGAGTCATGCTAAGGACACAGACAATCTTCATAAGACCAGGAAGGTGTGCCTTTTCAAATGAAAGCTTCTTCTCAAAAGGGGCTGCAAAGATTTGAATCATACTCTCCTCTGCTGCAACCACAGTAGAGCACCCATTTCTGTGGGTGCCTATGCTCATTCGTCAGTACCATTAACGAAAAATGAAATAAAACATAAATTGCTGAGCACATTTGGATGTATTTGTGGGTGTACACAGGTCTTATGTCTTATGTAATGTTCTCATTTTTACTTAATTTTTACTTAATTTTTACTTTATTTTACTTTATTACTATTCACACCTTATGTCGAAGCAAATTCCTAGTTTGTGAACCTTGTTCATTGACATGGCAATAATAAACTGATTCTGATTCTGATGAAACTTTTGAAATCAATCATTGAATGTACAACTAATTAACTAGAGGAGTCAACCTGATTCAAAACGGCCACCACAGCAAGGCAGTTTTAGCAAACACAGAAATGGCTATAACTCAAGTCAACTTCACAGATACTGAGTTGACATTTGGTGTGGTAGTAGATAACTCAAGTCAACTTCACAGATACTGAGTTGACATTTGGTGTGGTAGTAGCTGAGCGTCATCCTTAGCTTGAGATTGTTGTAACTCGTAGAATCAACTCTGTTGATGAGCAAAATGTTTTATGAAACGCTTCATGGATTTTAAGGAAATCTTCAAAAAAGTAATCAGTAGATTTACATCTACAATTGGAATATGTTCAGACTCAACCCATTTCAAAATGGTCGCTAAAGCCAACTGACTTTAGAAGACACAAAAAAGGCCGAACTTGATATTGTGGTCAATTCTGGTGTGGTACTAGCTGACGGTCGTCTGCAACACATACTTCAGATTATGTGAGATCACACAAGATACTGCAAAGTACTGTTCAGTGTTATGTTTAAAGTTTGACCAAAATACTTATACTCTGTAGTTTCTTGTTTTATTTAACCTTTATTTATACAGGTAGTCTCACTGAGTTACAAGGACTCATTTTCAAGAGAAACCTGTTTGGGAGCAGATGGTGGGAGTTAAGGACCTTGTTCAGGGGTAAATGAGGGTGGAGGCAGGTGTGGGTGTTTCATCTTTCCCATCCACATTTTGATGTTGTCGGTTCGTGGAGTCGAACCAGCAACCTTCCGATCACAGGCCCGCCTTCTCTAACCTCTGCGCCACCACTCCCTAATTATAATTTCTCATCATAAAATGAGCTTAGTGTAAAACTGGCATGAAAGTAGCAGTCTGCATCTTTATGAGTCTCTATGTCCAGCAATTGTTACCCAGTTTTTTCCCAAAATTCTTGAAAAGGTCTGAGGTTTCCAAGAACATGGGCTTATCCTTTACTGTTGATTGGTTTACCCACTATGATAGACAATATTTAGAACACTATCAGTCACACAGCTGCATTAGATCAGGACCAAACGTGGGAGGAGTCCTTATTTAGGCGACAAGAGGGATCTTTACAACAGAAGTGTGGTCTCTGTTGTCCCAAACTTGCTTAGTCTGTCTGGAAACACATGAAGACTCTGAAACCATCTTGTTACAGCTGAAATTGATGTTTGGTTGTTATGACTCCTTTGTATGCCTTGCACACACGCACACACTCAAATGACAGCAGCAGGTGGTGTGAAATGCCGGTGCCAAATTCCGAGTGTGAGCTTAAGGACAGGTCAGCTCCGGCTCAGCTCTCACTGTTCGCTTCCACTCAACACTCCCATCGTTGTCCAAAACTGTGGCGTCAGAGGAACTGTAAGGAATGAGATGTGCACAGTGGGGCAGCAGCTTTATTTATGACCCGGGGCTCTACAAATAGATTGCAATGACGTGCAACCAGTGGGTAGACTCTGAAGCCTTGGCATGGGCTGATCCAGTTTCTGGCAGAACATACACATGGACATAATGGTTGTGTGATCATTCCAAGAATTATCAGGTGAAAAAAAATGACAAGAGTGTCAGTTGAAAGATTATGAGCAGTCAATATCTTACCTTTCGGACATAACTAATAGAACCATCTCGGTTTTGTGAAATAGTTTACTTTTGACTGAATTGACAAGCTAAAGGCTAGTCAAGGCCAAGACCCAAGTGGATTGCTGCTGTCTTAAAACAACTTTATCTAAAAATGCCAAAGCACTTTAATTGTATTGTTTAAACATTTACACTGCCATTAATTTCACATCACAAGTTTATTTAAATAAAATTCTATGGGTTTTTCCAACTGAAGACATCTCCGGCTGCAGCTGTAGCACTTCCTGTCCTTTCTGTTTATCATAATCTTTCTTTAATAAACAACGCCGTAAAGTAAAACTGATGGCAATGCAAAACTTTATAAATAAGAATTTGCATGTGCCACTCTGACATTCACGACTGAGTTGCTTTAAGGTGGCAGCAATCCACTTCCATCTGGGTTTTGCTCAAACCAGCATTTAGCTCAATAAGCTATTTCTCCAGCTGAGAACTTTCAGAGAGGTAAATTTATTGTTCATAACCTTTTCATAGAAACATATGTCAAAAGATTTGAACTGCTTCTTGAAAACAATCAATGAAAACCTAAATTTAACTTAGACCTGCTCTCAAGAACTTGACTTTGAATTGGACTCCAGGACTAGAATGGGATCGTCTGCAGTGGCTCCTGCTTGTGAAAGCTGATCATCTGAAATGACCTCCTGACTAAAAGGCTAAAGAAGACCTGACCTGTTATTTGTGCGACTTCCCTCTGCTTTCAAGGGACTTCTTCAAAGACATAAACACACACTTACGCACATGCTGCTTGTCTCAGAAATCACTGTAAGCCAACAAATCTGTAATAGACCACTAACCCCCACAGTTGGATTCAGGGTTAAGAATAACAAGCTTAACAGCTTTAAAAAGAGGATCTGTGGGACTGAAAGACTGCTCCGTACACTGGATTTATGGGACAATAATCTTTGAATGGATTGACAGCAATTTATTTATTCTCCTTGTGATGTTACATGTTGCCACTGAACGACGTCCATTCACATTAAAACAACTTCTTAAAGGCACTTTTTTTTGTTTCAAACCAGGGGTGATTCTAGAATCTGACCTTTAGGGGTGCTTAGCCCCCAGCGATGACAATGGCTCTAAGCTTGAACAATGTGGTGGCCATTGGCGTCAGAAGCATTCTCCCCCAGAAAAATGTTAATGAAGTAGATACTATTTCCTGCATTCTGGTGTAATGGGTTGTTAAACATCTATGTTTAACTCCATAAGTAAGCACTTGATTCAACAACTATTTTCAAGAGCCGGCACAACAAGAAGCAGCTCTAAGCTAGCTGCGTGCAATACAGACGTGCTAGCTAAGATGCTACAGACGTAGCGCTCTGCTTTACATTACACAAACTAATAAACTCTTTATACAAATCAGTTTAGTGTTAACTAATCATAACAAAGATTAGACTTATGCAACCAGAAGTTGCAATGCATATCTACATATAAAACACACAAAACAAAGCACAACTAGCTTTAAACATTAACCTTTAATTCAAACATTAAGCATACAATGTAATTATGACAGGAAATGGAGGATTTACCTGCAGTTACTTTCATGCAGATGAGCATGTGGTACTTCTTGTTTATAACTGTTGTATTCAGCTGTTTGTGAGGTCGGCTGCAGGGCTTTATCATCTTTTACATTTTTCTAGACTCCGTTTAGGTTTTGTAAATTGAATAAACTGCATTTCACTCTAAAGGAGAGCTTTTCAACTAAACTGCTCAGGGGGCCACAGTTACTGAAAGCAGCAGCTCAGGGGCCGGACATCCAGCGATTAAAGTCATTTTATAAATAAACCAAGTATTACAATGATTTGTTACCTTTTAAATTTATTTTGTTGCATTGAATCATAAATGCAATAAACAGAACCAAAACTGCCCCAGTTTTTTTCTCTTTATTTTTTAGTGTGCTGAGTTAAAATGTAGGGGTGCTGGAGGACCCACCAAAAAGAGGCTAAACTCACCAATGTTTCAAACATTAATATCAGATAAAAGCAAACAAAAATAGTTTTGTTCATGCTATAATAAAAAAGGCCACAGAAGTAGTTCAGACATGTTGCTTCCTAACACGTAGACCTGTGTTAAGAATACACACACCCCAGGTTCATGTTGACTACTTAGATCTATGGAGGGCTGTAATTTAAACAGGACATTCACAGGATGTTTGGACCCCTCACTTGGTCCATGGTGATACAACAACAAAAATGAGGTCAAACATGTTTTTTTCTATTCTTAATATGAATAAAGAAATAGATAGATGTCAGTGTTGTAACATATTTAGTGAATGTTTTGTGTTATTTTAGCGCCACCGTGTTTTGGCCTTCTCTAAAACTGTGAACTGTCATAAATAATCCGTTATATAACACTCTATTCCTGTACTTGTGTTGAGAGCGGACATGTTTTTTTTTCTGCAGCCTTCAGACGAACATTTGGACCTGTACATTTTAACAGCCTCATGTCACTCACCCCCCCAGACATACACACATACACAAAACACACACCTATTTTTTTTTTAATAAACTAAATTAAGCTGTTTTGCTGCCATTATAACTGTTCCTCTCTATTTTTATGTCTGCCTCTATGTTTTTTCCATCTCTATTTGTGTAGTACTGTGTGAGTCTTAGTGGCAATGCTTAAAATACTGAGCTCACCAAAGTAAATAAAACTTTTTTTCCCCCCTCAGTCTGTGGTACTTGAATGGAAACTACCTGGTCATCATGGTCTCTGCCAGCATCATCCTGCCTCTTGCTTTAATGAAACAACTTGGTGAGCAACAAGAATGATGTAACTCATGATTATTATTTCATTTGTTTTTCTCTTGTTTTTTTACACAAAGCTAAATTAGCTAATTGTTCTATTGCACTCAGTGAGGAAAATAATAATAAAACTTATAAAAATTGTTCATGCATTTTAGAAGCAAGCACAAGATACAACGTAAAATACTTACCTCATGTTGTATTAAATTAAATTCAAAGTGCAGGCATTATACCATATCATTTTATTTCTAAAGCACTTAAAATACAACACAGCAGCCGACTGAAGTATTGTACAAAAATTAAAACAAATAACAACAATAAAACAATAAACTATAAGAAAATAGAAATCAGAACATCACAAATACAAGGAAAGAGTACAACATTAAGACACAGATGCTCACTCTAAAAGCCAAATAAAAAAATGCGTTTTTAAATGAGTTTTAAAAACAGAAAGTGATGGGGCCTTATAATGAAAAATTACTATTTTGTCTTGAATCCGAGTGGGCCAAGTTGAGTTTTTACCTCCAAAATGTTGGCAAATCTTATTTTTGTAGATGTACGTCCAATTAGGACTATGGCAAAATCTTGGTTTTAAAAGATAAACATAAAACTGATGATCAAGAGTCACAGGTTTTTTTATTTTATTTTATTTTTTTATTGGACCACAACTTTAGCCTCTTATGTGCTGCATTTTTTTCTACACAGTTTAACCATTTGATTCTAACCTTTTCAGAATCTGTCTCATAATCAAATACAACATTTTATTTACATTTTTAATTTAGTTGATACTGAATGACCTCTGTTTTGAAGCTGACTTTAAAGAGTCCAAGTTCTTCCAAAGTACAGTTCCTCAGGTACTTGGAACAAGTTTTGTTTTAATTGATCATAACCCTTAAAGTACCAGAAAATGACTAAACTGACCTATGTAATCACAACCCGACTTATACAATCACATTCTGATGGAGCAGCTATGTTAAAGCGAAGTGTGTTTTTGTCTACTACTGGCAGCAAGAGCAGCAGGTACTTGTGATATTTTTACCCCCTGAGATAATTGCAGCCAGTCCAGAATAATCTGTTCTTTATCACACACTGTAAACATGTTTCTACCCTCGGACTGCTGTGAGGTCCTTCAGCCGGATCATTCTGTTTTTTTGCAGCGGCTTTAATCCTAACAAAACCATGTGCTTTTCTTGTGTCGATAACATGTCAGTTTGATACGAGTTAATGTTGCCTGTCCCTGTCTTTATATTTTCAGGTTACCTCGGCTACACCAGCGGCTTCTCCCTCAGCTGCATGGTGTTCTTTCTCACCGCGGTAAGTTGGTCCAGTTCTCTCTTGTTATCGCACTTTTCACAGAGAGCCTGATTTATTCTGGCATTTTATCCTGGGAACGGGGAACTCGTCTACTTCACTGTCAGCTTTACGCAACCATGTTTCAAGAGGTGACTGGAAGAGCCGTACTAAGACAATAAAATAAAAGCAAAGCAGTCTATGATTTTTTTTTTTTAAATCTTTCGTTTGATGGATTTACTCTTTACTCGTAACGTTCCATTGTTGTTTCGTCTTTTCGTGATCATTTCCCTGATTCCCCTCCTTTGTTTGGCACCTCTCTGCAGGTTACCTACAAGAAGTTTCAGATTCCCTGCCCCTTTGAAGAGTTTTCAGTGAACAGCACTGCCGCGCATCACGGCCTGAACATTTCAACCCACGTCCACGAGTACACCAACGGTTTGATTCACGAAGACGACGACTCCCACTGCGCCCCACGCATGTTTACCATTAACTCACAGGTGGGTGGCTGATGTTTAAAAAAACAAAAAACACTGCTTAACTGGTTTTGTAAGAAATGTGACCATTGCTGCAGCAGAAGGGTGTCTAACAGAAACCTATGTGTTCACAGACGGCTTACACCATCCCCATCTTGGCTTTTGCTTTTGTTTGCCACCCTGAGGTACTGCCCATCTACACCGAGCTCCGCAAGTGAGTCGCACCTTCATGAGCTGGTGATAGTAACACGGCAGTGCAGAATGTAGCATACATAACTATCAAATCTCTGATTCCAGTCCAACTCAGAAGAAGATGCAGAAGGTGTCCAACCTCTCCATCTTGGTCATGTACACCATGTACTTTCTGGCTGCTCTCTTTGGCTACTTGACCTTTTACGGTGAGAGCTGTTGTCCCTGGAGTTTCTTGTTTGTCTTTAATAAATGTTTGTCTTTAACCATTTCACTGCCACACCTTTCACAGATGTTTAGAACTCTGAAATGATCATTCAGCCCTCAGTGTTTCTCACCACTACTGAGGAGCTGACATCCCAGTTCAACTCTGTCTGCTTAAAGACTTTAGATCATGTCTCGCTCCTGTTAAAACCAAAAAATCAAAACTCAGAGCAGAACCTTGGCTGAGTGACGTCACCAAGGTCGTTAGGCAGCAATGTAAGAGGGCGGAGCGCAAGTGGAGGAAAGACAGGCTGCAGGTCTCTTTTCAAATACTTAAAGAGAGTTGGCGCCGTTATCAGAAAACAGTGAAAGCTGCAAAATCCAAATACTTCTCTGATATAATTACCTCAAACTCTCGCAACCCACGTATCCTCTTCTCCACCCTAAACTCTGTTCTCCACCTCACTGAACCATCACCTCTGGAAGCCTCGACTGAGCTGTTCGACAATTTCCTACATTTCTTTTTGGAAAAAATTGCGACCACCCGGGCTCTCATTTCCCCTCCAACTCATGACCCATCCATCCCACCCCAATCTGTATCTCTATTTGACCATTTTGAACCCATCACTCTATCTTCTCTAGAGCAGGTTATGTGCAGCTTGAAACCTTCTGGTTCCCCCTTTGATGTGGTCCCCCCTCGACTACTAAAGGAGGTTTTTCCTACTCTAGGTCCGTCCATTCTGGCTATAGTAAACAGTAGTTTATCCACTGGCATTGTGCCACAAACCTTTAAACATGCTGCTGTCCAGCCTCTCCTGAAAAAAACAAACCTTGACCCCTCAGTCGTTTCCAACTTCTGGCCTGTCTCCATACTCCCATTTGTTTCAAAACTAGAGGAGAAAATAGTCGAGTCCCAGTTGAAGTGCTCCCTGGAGGGTCACGCCATCTTAGAGCTATTCCATTCTGGCTTTAAACCTCTCCATAACACTGAAACTGCCCTGCTGAAGGTCTTTAATAACATTTTCTTAACCACCGATACAGGTGATTCTGTGTTGCTTGTCCTGTTGGACCTCACAGCCGCCTTTGACACCATCGACCATGAGATCCTCATTGCTAGGTTGGAGCAGTGGGTGGGCATCACAGGGTCAGCCCTCAGTTGGTTCAGATCTTACATCACTGACAGATCCTTTTGTGTCTCCATCAAGGATTTTAGTTCTGCAGCGGCAGAGCTTAAATGGGGGGTTCCGCAGGGGTCCATCCTGGGTCCCCTCCTATTCTCTTTATACCTGATGCCGCTTGGTGCTATTTTCCAGAAACACAACATGCCCTTCCACTTCTACGCCGATGACTGTCAAATTTACTTCCCCCTAAGACACAACGGCACATGCTCTATTCAACCTCTGCTCGACTGCCTGGCTGACATCAGGGACTGGATGGCTTTAAATGTCTTAAGTTTCAATGAAAAGAAGTCTGAAGTCATGTTGTTCCCTCCCAACGACACAATCACAAACCACTGTATCGACCTCTCCGCTCTAACCCTGTCAGAAAAACGGAGAGTCACTAATCTGGGAGTGATAATGGACCCTTCCCTGAAACGTAACTGTCACGTAAACATGATTGTTAAATCATGTTTCTTCCAACTGAGGCGGCTGTCTAAACTGAAGTCCATATTGTCCAAAAATAACCTGGAGACAGTAATGTAATGCATGCATTCTTTACATCTAGGCTTGATTACTGCAATTCGCTCCTGTTTGGTATCAGTCAGACCTCCATTGTACGACTACAACTGGTCCAGAATGCAGCAGCCCGATTTTTAACCAGTACAGGCAAAAGAGAGCACATTACACCAGTTTTGGCCTCACTGCACTGGTTACCAGTTCACTTTCAAATCCAGTTCAAAATACTCCTGTATGTCTACAAATCACTGAACAGTTTTGCGCCCCCCCATCTCTCTGATCTGCTACAACCGTATGTCCCACCACGTTCCCTGAGGTCAGCAGACCAGTTACCTCTGCTTGTCAGACAGGCCCCCTCCCTCTCGGTTTTCAAGTCCCATTTAAAAACTCACTGCTATTCGGTAGCTTTCAACATGAGATGATCTGTGTTTTGAACCTGTACGCTTCACACTGGTTAGTCGTCATTATCTGCATCGCTTTTATATCTATATTTCTGATTTACTTCATTTTGTATTTTGCTTTGTGTGTTACCTGTTGTTCTGTCTGTACAGCGCTTTGGTTGGCCTTGTCGCTGTTTTAAGTGCTCTATAAATAAAATGGTATGGTATGGTAAATGGTAAATGGAGTGTACTTATATAACACCTTTCTATCTAATCAAGATACTCAAAGCTCTTTACAATTTGTTTCCTCATTTACCCATTCATACAACACTCTACTAGATCTGTACAAAGAATAATCTGTGATTTATCACATTCATACACTGATGGGACACACATCAGAGGCAATGAGGGGTTCAGTGTCTTGCCCAGGGACACTTCAGCATGTGACTGCTGGTGGAATCAAACCCCCAACTCTCACATTGGAGGACGACTGCTCTAACCACTCAGCCACAACCGCACACAAGAAAATAAAAACATGCTAATGCCAACGTTAGATCATTAAGAAAAAACAAGTTGTTTCTCATAAAAAAGTAATGTTGGGTGTAAAAAAAAAAGCTAATACAAGCTATCCATCCATCCATCCATTATCTTTACCCGCTTATTCCATTTTGGGTCACGGGGGTCGCTGGTGCCCATGTCCAGCAATCACTGTGCGAGGGGCGGGGTACACCCTGGACGGGTCGCAAGTCCATCACAGGGCCACATAGAGACAAACGAGACAAACAACCATTCACTTCCTCATTCACACCTAGGGACAATTTAGAGTTACCAATCAGCCTAACATGCATGTTTTTGGTCTGTGGGAGGAAACCGGAGTACCCGGAGAAAACCCACACATGCACGGAGAGAACATGCAAACTCCACCCAGAGAGGCCCCTGGACCGGGGTTTGAACCAAGGACCTGCTCGCTGAGAGGCAGCAGCTCTACCAGTTGTGCCACTGTGCTGCCCCTAATACAAGCTACTAAATTATTATTTAAAGTGACTCTAAAGTTTAAGAACGTTTAATTACCAAAGCGCAAACAAAATAAAATGCTAAAAACCTTTTAAGAGGTTCTCCAACCTCCTTTTTTTTTTTTTTTCCCATCACTAATCTGTTTCATACAAGACAGCTTTCCCATGGACCAGTGGGGAAATTATACTCTCCAGTAAACTTTGCTACGGTTAACATCCAGGTTTTCTATTGTGTGAAAAATAATAGTCAAGTGAAGGGTTAAGGTGTGAGCGAACGTGAAAATAAAAAAAGTGAACGTTCCAAATAAAATACCATCCACCCATTTTCTTTACCTACGTTTCCCTTTCTGGGTTGCGGGGCAGCTGGTGCTCGTCTCCAGCGGTTGCTGTGTTAAACGTTTGTTTTTTGTCTGTTAGAGGAAACCAGAGTGCTGCAAAGTCCCTCCAAAAAGGCCGGAAGACGAACCTGCAATCTTTTCATTATGAGGCAACAGCTCTGACAACTGCACCTCTGTGACGCCCGAATAAAATATCCTGCAGACTAATTTATATAGATTTCTTTAAAGAAATGTTATATCTGTGTGTCCAAATGACCCATAGACCTATCCTACAGTCCACATCCTTGGCCTAGTGGCTGGGGACCCCTGCTCTAGTAACATTCCCCTGAATATGCAATAATTTTTTTATTGTTGGTGTGTATTTCCCTTCTTCTAAAGTAAAACATGCATTGAATGATGTGTGCTATAAAAGATCCAAGCTCCCTCGTGTGGCGGCTCTTTGCAATAAAGTTCAGTTCAATCCAAGGTTGATGCAATTCTGATTTTTTTTTTTTTTTCAAATGTTCCAACAGAAAATGTGGAGCCTGAGCTGCTGCATACTTACAGCCGCATTGATCCTTACGACACTTTGATCCTGTGTGTTCGAGTGGCTGTTCTCACTGCGGTGACTCTGACTGTCCCCATTGTGTTGTTCCCAGTAAGTCAGACACCTTAAGCTGCCTTCTTTAAAGAGCTACATGCTTTCTTTTCTTGTCTGTATGAAAAAAAATTGTGTTTGTAGGTGCGTAGAGCCATTCAGGAGATGATATTCCCCAGCAAGTCTTTCAGCTGGATACGCCACACTGGCATTGCTCTCATTCTGCTCTCGTTCATCAACATGCTGGTGATATTCGCCCCCAACATTCTGGACATCTTCGGCATTATTGGTTAGTACAAGATCAAGACAGTCACATTGTCACGGTTAATTTTGGACATTTTCTTAACAGGATGTACTGTTATCTGTCCTGGCTGTTGTTAGCATAGAAACATCACGCATTACTTATTCTGTCTCCAATTGCAGGCGGAATCCTCCCACTTCATGTACACTGTTCACATGTTGTTTCAGACTTTTCTAGTTACTGATGTACACGGTCACACGGTCAAACACACACCCGCATGCAGGCATGCACGCACACGCAATTGAAACAAAATTTGTTTGCTGGGGGAAAACGTGATCGCTCGAGTCAATATTATTATCGCAGTTTGTCCTCAGACAAGAGGCCACATTTTGAAGGTCAGAGGCGAAAGTTGAAAGCAGTGATGCAGAACTATTTCCAAAGCGGCCATTCATACTTCAACAAACAATATGTTTCAGGTTACAGTTCATGTTCATGTACAGAAACAAAAATAAAATAAAAGAAAGATTCCTGGAAAGAATTTGCACTGTAGTAGGCCCTCTTTTATTGCAGGGTTATGTTCCAGACCCCCTGCAATAAGCAAAAATCTGAGAAGTAGCGACATTATATTTATTTTAGTATTTATACATATGTTCTAAACTCTTAAACCAACGTCATTTTAAAACATACATATTTGTAGCTACTAAATTTTACTCACCAGCTGGAAGAACAGCAGCAGGCTCAGTTCTGCTCTGGTTCTGATCCGTTATTTTTTTTTTTCATTCAACCTTTATTTAGACAGATAAATCCCATTGAGCCTCGATGGCTCATTTACAAGAGACCTGATTTCAACAAAGAAAGATGACAACAAAGGAAACAGCGACAACAATAGACAATTACAAGAGGCGTACAATTTGTTTATTTTTTTACAAATTAAAGTAAGATGGCAAAAAAGTAGCAAAAACAGCTAGCTTATAAGGCAAATGCGCATGGGTGTGGGTGGGTGGTGGGACCTTTGGGTCACCGGCATGGGACTGACCGGTGGTCCAATTGAGTGGTCCGATAAAGAGATGTTAAAAAAGTCCCGTGTGCTCCAGAGAGTAGCCGGAATTTCGGTGAAGCCTCCCTGCTCGGAAGTCCTCATGATCTCTCTCAGATTCACTCATGGGTCTGGAGGCCCGATTCTGGTCCAGTTCTGGTCCTGTTCCCAGTGGGTTCCATGTGGCTCTCTGAATCCGCTGGATGCCGAAGTCACTGTACAGTAATAAGCACCAAAATTTTTCCGATCAGATCAAAACTTTCCCTCTATGTTTATCAGCAGAAGGCAATGGGGCTTCTGGGCGGGGCACCGTTGGTTTCTGGGAAGTGTAGTCCTCATGAGCATACAGCGTAGGCTTATTGAGAGAAAACTACAAAATGGCAGCACCTGTTCAAAGTATTTTATTTTTTCGTTAACTTTTTACTGTATAGTATCCCGTACTGTCCCAATCACGTAATATTAAAGTTGACAATCGTGTGTCCTGTACATTTTATTTTCTTGTGTTCAATATTACTTTGAAAAACCGCAAAAGAGCGAGCCTGCTGAAGTCGAACTGCGAGGGACTACTGTACTCACTGCCTTGTGTGGCAAAGTTTAAACAACTTACTGTGTGATCTGTTAGTGCTCAAAGCACAGTATATGATGGGGAAGCTCAGTATCAGTTTCGATACAACAGGTTGACTAAGAGCCATTTTCTGTTGGCTAAGGTCAGCTAGCTGTGGTAGCCATCTTGAATCAGGTTGACTCCAAAAGTAATCAGTTGTAGACAAACATCCAATGTTTACTTTCTCAGGGTTTCATTCAAACATACATCAAACATACATCCACTGGTTCAAGACATGTTTTCTTAACAGTCACATGCAGACAAGGTCAGTTACGTGATCACCCACCTTTCGTGGTGTTGAGATATTGCGATGTACAAAACAGTTATTAGCTGCTATTGTGTTTGTTTTAGTAAAGTTTTCTACTTTTCATTGACAAGCTTAAAAATAAAAATGTGCATTTTATGTCACCATCGTTCCCTCTCTGTGTTTTTAGGTGCCACGTCGGCTCCCTGTCTCATTTTCATCTTCCCTGCTGTCTTCTACATCCGCATCGTTCCTAAAGAGGATGAACCCTTGAACTCGGTTCCCAAAATCCTGGTGAGGCATTCAGATTTTTGTCACGTTAATTGTTTTCTACCTTTCAAATCAACAAGTTCTCACGATAATATAACGATCCAGTTTCTCCTGAATAATTAAAGCTCTGGGGTGTTTTTGTCCCATCGTTCTCAGGCCTTTTGTTTCGCTGCTTTGGGTGTTTCCTTCATGGTGATGAGTCTGAGCTTCATCATCGTGGACTGGACGACAGGGAGCAGCCATGCTGCAGGAGGTCACTAACTTCAGTGTATGTGGGATTTTAGGAAAAGTCTTGGATATTATGTTCAGTATAAAGGAAGTAAAACACACTACATTGCTCTCCAGTAGAGATCCTGGGCTTTGCCACGATGCACAGTAAACACCTGGACTACATTTTTATTGCCTACATTTTAAACATATGTTTTTCTGTAAATGCACAGCAATTTAAATGCATTTGATCTCATTAATTGTGAACTAAAATACAACTAAATCTACCTATGATGGTGAAATGATCCTGTTCTGCTGCTGGGCATTAATTCCTCTCACACAGCTGCAGCTGGTACTGTACATGCAAACAAAGGCAGAAATGCTTCAGCATTTTTAATTTTTTTTCAACGAGACGCACAAAATATGCAGTTAGATGATCTTACATGGAACCAGCATCAGTCTGAACGGTCCATCATTATCATCATCATCTTCATGTAGAATAAGTCAAAGCGCTTGAAGGCCTGGCGGCATTTTATGTCTGTAAGCTTTTGCTCTATATGCATTTAAACCGTGGTGCCTTTTACCTTTTGGAGTGGCTCACATACATAGAAAGTGTATATTTATTCAGCTTGCTGCTATAAAGCTTTATTTAACTTGCGTTTGGTCACAAAAAGGAAATCAGTTCACTGTATATGACGTAATTGTTTTTCTTAGGTCACATAGATGGTAGAAGTGTTAAAGGCTGACGGTATTGAGGCTGCATGGTTGATAAAATGATTATCTCTTCATTACAACGACAACAATAGTCCAAATAATCTGTGCTCTTGAATAAAAAGCAAGTCCAGATCATGTTCATAGTGTAGTGAGTCACGTGAGGTACGTGTCACTTATAGTATGACAAATATATGTGTATATATTTATGCATACTTTTCACGAGTTCTTCATTTTTCTGACTGTAAATGCCGTGCATTGAATTTAACAGAAATGTGAACGAGAGACGTTATTTATCTTTGACCCATCAAATGAATGGAATCATTTATTTTCAAAATCAAAGTTTAACATCAAACATTTACATTAATTTGGCAAAATATGAAAATAATAACAGACAGTTTCACAGAAAATGAACTTCAAATCACTCGGCGGTGATTTGAGGACTTTGCTTCAGACATTTCTAAAAATATCTGTACTGATTTATGAGAGAGAAGAGTTTAAGATTAAATTGAGATTTATCTTACAGAGGAAATATGTGAGGGAATTTAATCTGTTTGACCAGAAGTTGCACGCTCCGTCCGATCTCAGCTTCTCACGGTACACTTGGTCAAAATAGAACCATCTACCTGTTGATGATGAATCAGCCTTGGAGTAGTTCCTTTCTGACTCGTTTCAGCGTCTCCGTCGAGAGCTACCAAACCTGCAGAAAGTCGTGCGTTGATTAGCTCAAAACAGAATTATAATCCCCAAAAACCTCTGGATTCTTCATTGCTCTGAAGCTTTCAGAACCGACTGCACTCTCAATCTTGGAACTCTCACGTTCTCCAGAACTCTCAATCTGTTGTCAGCTCTCATTCTAACTTGAACTGGGCAGTTGTCACATTTTAAATGAGTTTACTTCCTGTTCAGTTTAGAGCTTTCTGATTCGTGGAAGGACCAGAAAGAGGTGTGTTTTTGACGTAAGGTGTTTATCAACAGTCGAGGTCAGAGAATGAAACTTGTTTAACATACAGAAAAGATTATTGCAGAAGCAGCAGACTTTCTGGAGTCTACTCTTGGTAATCTTCTGAAAAAGTTTAAACATGACATTTCTTCTTCAGTAAACATTTTAGTTGACCGAAGACCAACCTTTCACATACTTACGACAGCTTGCTCATTTCAGACAGAAAATCAAGAAAGGCATATTCAGGTGATTTCTTCTCTGAATGAGGAACAAAAATCATTACTTACTGTTTATGTAAAATAAAAATTAGTAGTTCTTTTCAACCTGTAGAGCATTGAGTGAACTAACACAATTTGATTATCAAAACATTTGTAAGACAGTAATGATTATAGAGGATTGTCTTTTCTGCTTGATTAATTCAAGAAAGAAAGTTCATCAGATGGCCCAGACTCATTCAGATCAATGAAAATAACAGTCTCTGTCCATCTGGTAGATTTGAGGTCATCTGGTTCACTACAATAGTCATTTTTAACGTTATACTTTTTTATCGTGCCTGACAATTAGTGCCTCTATTTTGCTGTTCACCAAAAACACATAAGGCTGAGTTCAAAGATAAAACAAATACAAACTGGCAATCCACGTCTGAAACTCACTAATTAGTTTGAGATGCTCATCATCCCATATTTTTTCCTAAATTATCATAAACAGGTGTGAAAAAAGTCCCTCCCCCAAACTGTCCAACTTCTCGTGTCTGTCGTCACCCAGGTTATAAAATGTAATTTAGAGACATTGCAAGTTTGATCACTGTACATATCGTAAATTATTAAAAACCAAAACATTGTTAATAGTTTAATACTACAAGAAAAGAATAATAGTGCCTGTTGAAACAGTACATAGTTTCTGCTGCAGTGTTCTTTTTTACTGTGTTGTTCCCTGTTTAGACGTCTGGCTGATGTTCTGCATGATGTTCACTGGTTTTCTGCAGTAAACTGCACAGGATCTGATTTTGCTTCAAGCGTCATTGTGTGTAGATATTGTGTTTATTACCTGTACATTTCAACGATTTGTAGTAAAGTGTTTTAAAAAAAACAAATAAGTTAGTGCTGTGGTATTATGACGACCTCCGGGAGATCCGACATGAACTGAAGTTTTGGGCACTAATGTTAGGAAGCATCAATGTGACAAAGTTAAAGTAATTTAGGCATGTGAGCCAAATACCTTCAATTTTTTACAATTATTTAGAGTCATTTTAAGACCTACAAAACAACAACAACAACAACACACAACATGCACAACTCAAAGAAACCTTACTTTTTCTAAAAGTACTGACCCAAACCTTTCAACTTGCATAAAAAACAGAGTTTTATGTTACATGTAGGATTGTCAACTTTAATAAACTGAAACAAGGAACACTGACTGGACAGGGTGGTGCAGAGTGGGGGGAGAGGGGGGCTCCTTTTTTATCTGTATTTAGCTGTGAGATGCCATTTCTACTAAGAGTGACATCATCAATGAAAATCCGCCAGCTGAACATTTAACAAACATATACAGGTCTATGTTAGAATATTTAAAAAAAACAATCAGCATCAGTTTAGCTACTTTTAGCTTTTAGCTACTATTTTGGTCCCGTTAATGGGTCTTTGGCAACTTTTAGCTTATATCTAAACTTTTGCAACATTAGCTTTTAGCTAGTCTTTTGTTCCTTTTTTGTTACATTTAGCTACTTTTACCTTGTCTTTTGCTCATTAGCTTTTGCTAGCTACTAGCACTAGCACTAGCTTTTGCTTCTTTTAATTTTAGTATTCTGCTTCTTTTAGCTTGAACAACTCACTTTAATCTACTTCAGCGAAACTATTCAGCACTCAGTTTTTATACTTTTGCAGAAAGTGCAATTGATCTAGTTTCTGTCATTTTAAATTGAAAGGTTGCCCAATTTATTAGCAGCTTAAACAGCATACATTTTAGCAGCTTCAGTAAACTAAACATAGTGGTTCCCAACCGTGGTCCTTGAGGAACACTGTCCTTAATGTTTCCCTTCTTTGACGCACCTGATTTGAATGAATGGATGATTGACCAGCTTCGGCAGAACTTGAAGTAATTAAATCACTGAATCAGGCGTGCTGGAGCAGGAAATAACTGAAACATGCAAGGATGGTGTTCCTCAGGGACCAGGGTTAGGAACCACTGAACTAAAGTATGTTCCAGTGTTCAATGTCTTTCCCTACGAAAAAAAAAAAAAATCATGGTTCTTCAGCACAGGCTCATTGTTTCACCTGTTTCCATCTATAAGCAGATCTGCACTGGCTCTTTTGAATGTACAACAAACATGTTCCTTATGAACTTTGTAAGGAAACGTTTATAGTTTTAAAACAGAACAACGCTTCAATTTAAGGGACAGTTGGCAACCCTACCTTTGTGTAGCCAAAGACAGTTTTTATTCTACAAGAGAGGCTGCGCTCTTAATGAAAATTATTAGAAAGAACTGCAAGAGGAGTGTTTAGTCCAAACGTCAACTTGTTTCGTTGCTTTTCCACACAGTTTTGCAGAAGTTGTGTAATTTGAACGTTGTCATATTTTAGTTGTTACTTTCCTTCTATATTCATGTCAGAATGAACAACAGACTACCTACTGCTTCGAAATGCTTTGAAATAAGTTTCCCTGTGTCGTTATCTTAGATACCAGATCTGCTTGTACATATTTACATCTGTGTGATGTTTTCTGTTTGACATGTTAGTCTATGGAAAGAACACGACTGTAAATGATTAACGGGGTTTAGTTCAGTGGATGAGACAGAACTTTATATAAATTATGTATATACAATGTAATGTGATGCTTATTTACGGTAGCTTGTAAAGTGTAAATAGTTCGGACAATTCGGCAAATAAAACAATCGTAGGTGTTTTTACATCGTCTCTGCTGTCGTCATTCCTCTTTTCGTTGAATAATTCTCTGAAAGTTAAACATTTTCATATTTGTGTGCAGAAAACTTCACTTTAACCTCTTTATCTCCGGCAAACACTGAGTGTGCACAGCATGAAACATGTTCATCCCACAAAACACTATTTTAAAAAATAAATAAAACCTATGTACTCATTTTTCAAGGCTGAACTTTTTTCAGACTCGTGTTTCCCCTCTGACCTTAAGTCAGTGTCCACGTGCGCATCAAAACGTACTTACAGGTCACTGCAGGTGCATTTCAGATCCATGAGTTTTTATTTTCTAATATTCCTGCTGAATTTTACACCAAGTAAAATGAAAATGCACCTCAAATACAGGATTTAGTATCTGCACAGCTCAAGGTTAGTTCTTAAGTTTTAAAATAAAACTTTTGTTGAATGCTTTTGTTCAAAGGTGGCACATAAAATCAAACAGAAATTTAAAAAGTTTTTTAAATAACATTAAAAAAAATGTATAATTAGTCTAATATGAAGAGTTTTATTGCTCATTCATCTAAATTTGTTTGCTTTCAGATCTCATATGCATGTTGAAGCTTTAACTTCTTCAGCATCATGTTTCCTTCTCTGTTATAAATTTAAAATGTTTCCACTGTCATCATCATCATCGTCGCTCGCTGGTAAAGATTCGGCGATGATCTTTTCACCTGTGTTCACTTGTCTGAACTGTTAGCTAAATATCTCTTAAAGCACTGGGCAAATCTGAATAAAACTCCCAGAAATAAAACTTTTGACGTACATCTACAACTCATTAACTTTTGGAGCCAGTCCTGTTCAAGATGGCCGCCACAGGTACGTTAGCGTGCATGAAAAATGCGAATTTTACAGCTTCTGAGCTCAAATTTAATGTGGTTGTAGCTCACTCAACTGCAACACTGATTCTAAGCAACAACTGATCGAGTGAGAACTGTTTCTACATTTTTGCAATTAACTACTGGAGTCGTACCGTCTGTTAGCAAAATATCTCATGAACCACTGGACAGATTTTAATAAAACTTTCAGCAAACAGTCATTAGATGTGCATCTACTACTGATAATATTTTGGAGTCAACCCATTTCAAGATGGCTACCACAACCAGATGACCTTAAGAAACACACATATGACTACAGATATTGTGCTGACATTTGTTGTACTAGAAGTTGAAGTTGTGCTAAAATACTCCAAGCTGTACACATTACACAAACTCTTAGCCCAAAACTTTGGCTCTAACCTTTGACCCTGCTTGTCTGTTTGCAAAATCTCATGAAACAGTGAAGCGGTTTCAATGAAGCTCTCACAAAATAATCACTGGATGTACAGTTTTTAAGAAATAGATCTTGCTTAACTCTGAACGCCAGAAAACTTGTAACTGCTACCTTCCTACCAGTCATGGACTATGGTGACATTATTTACATGAATGTGCCCGTCAGCTCCTTGCAGATGTTGGATGCTGTCTACCATGATGCACTAAGATTCATAACTGGTTGTAACTACTGTACCCATCACTGCACTCTGTACTCCTTGATCAGTTGGTCATCATTGTCTACACGTACTCACACTGATCCATTTTCATCTATAAATCCCTCCTTGGTCTGATACCTTCTTATATCTCCTCCCACATGTCATGTGGTCAGTGCAGTTACAGCGTGCACTCTCAGGACATCATTACCTGCAGCGTTCCCTCAGTGTGGACTGAACTTGGCAAAAAGGTATTTTCCTACTCTGCTCCTGCAACCTGGAACACCTTGCAACAGGAACTGAAGTTATCCTCCGAATTCTTTAAGGGGTTTCAAACATTTGATAATGTCAATAGAAAAATCAAAGCAGATACTGTATGTTCTTGTTTGTAGTATTTCACCCGGTTTTATGGCACCCTGACTTATTGTTTTGTACACTACTCTTATTTTTTACTGCATTTTGACTGTAGTTTATTATTGTCATTGTTTACTGTTATTGTCTGTACTTTATATGTTCTGTCTGGACCAGGTCTCTCTTGTAAATGAGTCCTCGTGGCTCAACGAGGTTAGCCTGTATAAATAAAGATTGAATGAAAAAAATACATCTACAATTAATTCAATTATGGAGACACCCCCAGTTCAAGATGGCCGCCACAACTAATCAACTTAAGCCAACACCAAAATGGCTATAACTCAGTCAGTTTCACAGATAGAGGTACAATTTGGTGTGGTAGTAGTTGAGAGTCATCGTCACACAGATTCACGCACCTCGCAGATTGAGGATGTGGGCCCTTATAGAACTAATGGAAGACGGTTGCTAGGCCTTATGTGTCCACTGGGTGGCGCTGTGCACCAATTCTCACATCCTCATCATGGGCCAAGGTATTTCACTAACATGTGACGCAGAGACGCAATTGGCTCCTTCTTCCATCAGCACTCCCGTCTTCTGAGACGCAAAGCGCGTCAAGTCGGTCCCAGAGGACAGCAGGGACTGGTTGATTCCACCCTCTCCGAGTCTGTTCCCGGCAGGAATGCAGAGGAATTAAACGACGTGTCCTCCTCAAAATCACGCGCGCAGAGCGAGCTCACCTGCTTCTAATTGGACTATCGCGACAAGTTGCCGAAGTGACGTCAGCACCAGTGATTGATTCCCTTCAGCGCAACGAGGATAACTGAGTTTTTTTTGTTGTTTTTTTCTCACGCGAGACTAATTGAGCGCCCACAGCGGCGAGGCACGCGCGCGCTCACACGGAGGCGGAGGCAGGCGGCGGGGAGCAGCGCGCGCTGTGGATGGATGGAGGCAGCGTCTCGGCATGGATCAGAGCTTCTAGTTGAACTGAAGCGGACTTTGATTATTTTTAGCGCCAAAACTCAGGAAGCTGCTCCATCCGTCACCCCCTGGCATCAGCAGACCATTTCTTATTTTATTTATTTATTTATTTGCGCGTGTCGGTGCGCCCCTGCCTGCCTGGATCCATGGGTTGTACGGTGAGCGCAGAGGATAAGGCTGCCGCGGAGAGGTCTAAAATGATTGACAAAAACCTCCGAGAAGACGGAGAGAAGGCGGCAAGAGAAGTGAAACTGCTCTTACTGGGTAGGTAACCACAGGTCGCAATCATAAACTGGAAGAAGAATATGCTCAAACATTTTATTTCAATCAAAACAAACAGTAAGGCCATGACATAATCAGGAAAGTGGATTTTATATTAGAGAGGCATCCAAAAGTCAGATTTAACAGTTATTAACCAGCACGAGCATCTTTAGGTGAATAGCGTCATGAGAGCTCTGAGCTGGCATTTTCCCCAGAAAGCTGGATTTGATGTTACCTTATACAAAAACTGTGGACCAGGACTAAACATTAACAGAAGATCCAGCTCCGTCAGAAGCAACACAGTCCAACAAATCTCAAAAAAGAAGAAGAAATAAAACAGATGAAAAGCAGGTTTTATTATACACTGTCTTCATTCTTCCTTTTTGCCTCTTCCCTCTCAGAACATTGTCACACAACAAGCATCCTCCTACTCATTACCACGTTTTCGCTTCTCTTATCTTTTTCGGCTGACTTTTAAAACCCATCGTTCGGATTTTGATTTGCCTTTCTCTGTTTTCCCAAAATGGTTTCAAGTACCAGACCTTGAATGTGTGCACGTGTGTGTGTGTGTGTGTGTGTATGTATGTGCTGGGCATGGATGACGATAGAGAAAGGCAGATGGGGATGAAAGTGTGTCATCTTGTTGCAACAAGCTGTTTCTTGAAGACTTGGCCCAGTTTTGTTTCTGGTTCAAGTTCTGATCACCAGACCGAACAAAGCAGCACACCTTATATTGGTTAAATGATAATACACTTTTGTTTTAGTTTCATCTTTATTGTGAACAATGTGCAAGGAAATAACTTGACTGATGGGGTTTTCGTTTGCTGCCTGAATGGGTTAGATGCTGATGGTTGATTATGCTTTTTTTCTGCTTATTTGATTTTCACGTCAGCCTCTCGTGCCTCTGTGAGCTGTAGGTGATCTTTGAAAGTTCATATGTGACGTCAGGGCAAAAGATGTTAAAGTGTTAACAATGATAAAAGAACGGGCAACCACTGAATGGCATGCATAATGAGAGATCACCAAAAAGTGACAGCTCACATTCAGCATCGGCAAAGCAAATATGAAAACAAGAAAACTGGAACCAGAGCTGTGTTGTTTAGACACTACTGGATTACTCAGAACATCTTGACTCTTAACACCTCACTGGGCTGTAACTGTTGGCGACAAAAATTGTGAGAAAATGTGCACGTTTTCACTTGAAATTCGACTGAATCGATACTTGGCGTGACATTTCTGCAAATGACGTGCATTTGTTTGTAGCAATTTAGTCCCAAAAGACTTTTTCCATAAAATCTTTCCAGCCAGAACTGAAACACATTCCGGTCAACTTGATGTAACCTGTGAAAGGACCAACAAAGGGAGCATGGAAACCAGGCCAGCCCACTGCACTGTCAGGTCGTTTTCACACCAGATAGTCCGGTAGACTCGGTTCGGTTCGGGACCAATATTCATGACCTTTTGTTTACATTTGAGCTGGTGCGTTTGCATTCACACTGCACTGTGCAGTCGAGTCAACATGTTGAACCAACCTATTCCCTCACTCGCCTGAGGGGGCGCTGCACCAAGAACTACTGAAAGAAACGACACAAAAACCTCTGAAGACACGTCTTCTTCTTCTTCTTCTTCTTCTTCTTCTTCTGTAAATAAAAATAAAAACAAAGTGGCATCAAGTTTTAGCAGTTTTAGGAGTTATATTTTGTCATTTTTCAAAAATGGACTTAGCATGAGCAGAAGATGAGACAGAAGACCATGGAGAATATTGTTTTTCCACACAAGGCAGCTGACGGCTCCATATAAGGTCAGAGAAATGCGTGTTTGTTTGTCCTGCGGAGCGGGACCCGGTCTGTTTACATTCACACTGTACTCGAACCGCGCTGGAGTTCGCTTCTACTGGACCAAGACCTAGGTTTTAGCCCGGGCCAGTGTTCGCCTTTTTGTTCCGTGACAGAGTTCGATGGCGTGTTCACACCTCCCTAAACGAACCGGACTTTCAAGGAACTTGAAACTTGGTTAATTTTTCTCGGACTCGCTCTATCACAGTTTTTCAAAAAAAGATTGGACATGGCACAGTTGGTTGACTGATGGATGCGCTGTACCATCGGCATAGAATTTTCATGTAAAATAAATTATTTTAAATTATTTAGTACCTTCGTCCTGCAGCTTGTCAGCTGATCTCTGCTCTGCAGTGGAGAAGTGGGCGTGGCCCAAAGCAGTAGATGTTAGAGTGCAGCAGAGGCAGAGAGCTGAAATCATGACATTCTGTGCTCTTTTAAATCGTTTAGAGTTTAGAAACATTGTTTAGAATATTGCAAGATCTACTTCTACTTCCTCAGGCGGCTGAGGCGAGCTGGACTGGGAAGTTCAGTCCTCACCTCCTTCTACAGGTGTGCAGTGGAGAGCATCCTGTGCTCCAGCATCAGTGTGTGGCATGGAGGCTGCACAGCTGCAGAAAGAAAAGCTTTGCAGAGAGTGGTGAAGGCTGCACAGAAGTCTGTTGGAGTTGCCTCCCCACCATCACAGACATCTACACATCCAGATGCAGGAAGAGGGCCACCTGCATCATGAAGGACCCCACTCAACCAGCACACACACTTTTTGCCCCTCTCCCCTCAGGAAGGAGGTTAAGGAACATTAAATGTAGAACCACTAGACTGAGGAACAGCTTCTACCCTGAGGCTGTTAGACTCATGAATCTCTAACCAGGATAATCACTGTGAAAAATCACATAATGGTGCTGCTGATCTGTTTCATGTTGCTGCTGATCTGTTTTATGTTGCTGTGTTCATTTGTCCTCATCTGCTCACACAGATAATTCACTATAAGGTTTAATGTGCGGTGAGGTGACAGGTGAGGCACTGACTCCAATCGGATGCTCACATGAACCTAAAATAGAAGTTTGCCTTTTTTCTTTTAAAAAAGCATCTAATTATGCTTTAATCAACTCCATACTTTTCAACAATGATGGTAAGAAAAACAAAATATTTAATGTACGGTCAAACTTTTTTTTTTGGAGGTTGGAGATCCTCTCTTTTGAAAAAACAAACAAACAAACAAACATTTATTATCTTACCTTTATTTTAAGTTGAAGTCCATGCAACTATCCTTCTCCACGAATATCTCCGTTACTCGGTTGTAAAACTCATCGCGGTTTGCCTTCACTTTTAAAAGTCTGGCTGCTTCAATGGAGATAACCGCCAAGGAAAAGTCTCTAATACCTTCTGTTTTGACTGAAAATCAAGTTTAGAAAAATGCTTTAGTTTTGAGATATACTCTTCCATTTTGTCTAAACAAATTTAAATGAATGCACCGTTTGCTACACCTTTGCTGCCCCTCTGTGTAACAGAAGAACGCACAGGGACTGCACCTGCTTCATTGTCCCTATGGGGCAGCACTGCCCCCTACTGGTGCGGCATGGTACTTTATGCCTCACCCTGTGTATTTTAACCATGCAATTAGGACCGATTAGAAAGAAGAAATATGTCACACACATTTATTCAATATATTAGACATCAACATGTGTAGTATATGTGTAATCAAACATGTATATTGGCGATCTAAAGAGCGACAGCATTGGGTATGAACCAACCAACTACTTCATATATTGTATATGACACAGCGCCCCCAGAGGTGAACCAGAGCACTACACTGCCTCGCCCAGCATTTATTGCATGTTTGAACAGGCAGGCAGTGTGCAAATTCCATGATTTTGATTATTGTAGTGTTGAAATAATTCAGAAAACAGTTTTATAAAACAGTTTTAAAGAACAGTCAAGCGGTCAAATGTATTTTCTCTTATCATTGTTAGTATTTTACTTGTAATGATTATAGGTGTAGCACTGCCTCCCCTGTCCCCCCTGACCACACGTCACTGGTTTAATGGTTTAATTCACTACCGAGTGTACCAGGGCTGAGCTGGGTTCGGATGAAGGGTGCAATTCCTCATCAACACACTTTCCCTTATCCATCTTTTCTCTCCATTCAAACTCCTTCATTCCCCCTCTTTAAAACTCTTCTATCTTGCCAGTAATTAATCCAGATATCTTCAGAAATGTCTGTTGTTTTTATTAAGTAAAACGTGCCAAGTTTTATTAATCAGCGCCGATAGCATAATCAAGTGTACAATGTTTGATGTTAAATTTTGATTCTGTTAATAAATGACCACATTCATTTTGATGGGTCAAAGAAAATTAACGTCTACATGTCACTGATTAGACCATCTCCCACACAGTACCTCTGTCACATATCTGTCAAGTAGCTCGAAAAAGTGAGAACTCGTTATTAAATATTGATTGTAGTGGAGCTCCTGAAGCTAACCTAGCCTTACATCACTACACATATTTCCCAATGAATGAAATTTAAAAGATATTCTGATCTTATCACATTATGTCATTCAGGTCTTGTTGCTATACCTAGAAGATTTTTCTGTCCGTGTAAATAAAGCGGTAATTAACTACGATTTGTCATCTTGAAAAGATCATTGGTGAGACCGACTCTGTCTGGTCCGAGCATCTTTCATCTGTGATGAGCAGTCTAACAAATTAGAAAGAAAAAAAATCATTAATGTATTACATGAAGAAGAGATAAAACAAATGGATAGCCTGCACCTGGATGAAAAGCCACACTCGTGACTTGCGGAGCTCTAACAGCATGCACGGTGTGACGCTTCACTAGAGAACGTAAATATTTCACCATGTGTCCAGAGAAATTAAATCATACGCATTTTGCCGGAGTATGAGCGGTTTTGTACGAGACTATTTCTTGGCTGAGTGCAGTGAGGTTCTATAGTCCTGCTGTCAACCCATGAAGCTGCTATGCAACCAAATCACTTCAACACTTTGGCACATCGGCTATTTGGAACTCTTTTCTGTTAACACGTCTTTTAACGACATCTTCAGCAATTGGCTAAAAAATCACAACCCGATAAAAGCTCAACCTATCCCCAGAAGCAATTTCATTATTATATAATACTTGACATTTAAAAATATTTTTGACGTATAAAG